CGTAGTCTCTTGCATTGGCTCAAACATTTCATCGGTTTTTACGGCACGCTCTTAACCTGCATCAGATAGGCCATAATACTGACCAAACCCTCGTAGTCACCCAAATCCATGAGGTTCGAAGTCACCGTCGTCACCAGATGAGTCTTGAACATGTTGCCCCACTTGCACACAGTATTCAGCAAAGCCTGTCTGAAGGGACGCACATCGACTTGAAACCAGGAGCTGAATACTTGAAAGGGTGCAATATCTTCAATTTCATTGTACAGACTTTCGTAGTTGTCGATCTGTTCGCGAAACGCCTCTATGGTGGGTGGACTGGGCTTGGGGGCTGCCGCATCGTTCAGCATGACCAGTTCGATTTCATCGGCATCGAGTATGCGACCATACTCCAAAAAATATTCCATACACTCATGGCGATCGTCCAACCACAAATACGAATATCTTTCGAATTGCCGACAAAACATGGCCGCCTCCTCCATTACCAAATCCACACCATTTAGAATTTCCCTACGCATATCGATAATATCCTGATTAGCCTTGATCATATCACCGTAATTCTGCTTGACATTTTTCTTAAGGCGTTTCACTAGAGTTCCCATTTTCAGGATATCGCGAACCAATTCGATTAGCATATTATTGAAGCCCATGCTGTCGGCAGGATTCAAAGAGGGTACAAACACCATATTTGGTTCTACCAATTCCAGGCGGGCCTCAAACAGCGGAGCATAATTATTTTCTGGATCCATATTCTCGACAATATATCCGACACTAACACCGACGGTCTTTAGCAAATATTCGTAGACGATGTTATCGACAAAATCCACATAGTTGAGCCACATTTCATCATTTTGTTTATCCTGCATATCGAACTGAATCATATTGTCGTGTAGTAGTTCGTGTATTTTTTCTGATGCTTCTTGAATTTCTGCATAGCGTTTGGCGGTACGATCGGGTCGCTCATCTATGCACAGTACAGCATCTTTTTTTCCATCCCGTCTTTCGAACAATGGCTGGCGAACCCAAACGGACATTATATCGCGAATTTGTTTGAGATTTCCCTGTGTATGATCCATGCGATTTTGAAGAGCAGCAACAGGTTGTCGTAACTTATTGAGATAGGTTAGAATGTCTGTAACAGCATCATGGATAGAGATAATGATAAAGAGAGGGAAATAGACAATTTACAATACATATATAGGGAGAAATAAATGTGGAGATGACAGTCTTTCTTCAAAAGTAGTTCCAAAACAATTTAAATAAAATATTCTTTATCAAAAATATTTATAAACAATTTTTTGTATATTAGCTCGGTTTGTTTATAAATTTTGTAATGAGATTCCGTCCTGTTTTTTGGCGCCCAACCTTTTTGAACCTCCCATACGAGCATATTTATGTACTCTTAATGATTTTTCCTTATATTATTTCATTATAATTTTTATAATCATGAATTACAATTACAATGTCATATTCCAATGAAAAAAAACCTCCTCCCAATGTCTCCGCCTGCCTATACACTTTAACTTACCTTCCGAATTCCATACCAATTCATTAATGCCAACCTCAACCAAATCATCGATCTGTCGTATTTCCTTCTCAATCATTTTCAATTCCACCGTAGAACTATTCTCTTGAATGGTATTATACCAATCAATGGTCTTTTCCAAATTCAATGTGTACGTGCGGAAGACATCACCCTTGTCAGCGAAATCTAAGGCCACCTGCGGTACACCTTCAACTTCCATTTGCTTTAGGTAATGTACCTCACGCAATATGCAGAATAGTTCGGCACTAAAATTGAGTATCAATAGATTTGTACTGGGATCACGTTTGATCAGCGACTTTTCCAGATTTGTTTCGATTTGTTCATTTAGTTTTTCCGTCCATTCCTCGAAGACATACGAACGGCTGGCACCGATTTTCAATAGCAGGCGTTCGTAACGTTTTATAATATCCAATGATTGTTCCGATTTGGTTATTCTAAAAAAAGATTAACATTAAATTCCAGGTACTTAGCAGAGTATTGTGTGGAACTTACTCATGTTGCAAGGCCTGAAATTGTTTCATGGGTATGGTTATCCTCCGTTCCAGCTGACCACACCAGCGTATAAATGCCGCCGCCGGTGGACAATTATATTCGGGATATAATGTCAAATTATCATATCTCATAAACATTTGTTTGTCATAGATATCTTCACACACTGTCAGCTCTTCGTCCAACATCCGTACGATCTCGGTATATTTTTGTGTAAATTGTTCCTTGATCTTGGGTCTCTCCAATACACTTCCCACAATGTTAATAAGCTGTAGAGGGTGGAAAGGATACAATATAGAAGATAAGTGAACAAAATATTAATTTAAACTTTCGATCTCAATATAAAAGAGCCTGGAACATATAATTGGCGCCAATTTGTCTAATCAAATTAAGGGAGTATTGTTTGAAAGCTATTTTTAATATAGAGAACTATTGTAATTTTTATATTTAAAATATGTAATAAAAATAATTATTGGCGCCCAACGTTATATTTCTTCCAAATATAAAAAATATAATCGACATGTAGATTGTATCCAAGCTAAAGCCACATCGTATCATTTAAGTAGAAAATATGACATAATTTAAACACAATTGGCGTCCAATCAAAAAAGTTGCTCTTCGTCTACTCACCTTAAAAATACTCTCCAAATTGTAACAATCGTCGAATGCCTGACACAGTATCGCGGCCAATTTCATGTCCAACTCTAGTATACGCATTTGAAAATTTTCAAAATCCACATCGAATTCAAGATCATCGGGATCTAAAACATCATAACTTTTCGATGCGAAGGCCGTAAAGTATTGATTGAACTCAACATAAACGGCCGTAATGCGTGTACTCAGTTGGCGACCGCGTAGACCACCGATTTCAACTTTCTCCAGCTTCAAGAATTCAATCACCGTGAAGAAGAACCTGTGGAAGGAGCAAAGATAAATATGTCAAACGATAAAGGAATATAAAAATTAGAAAATAATAAGCAAAAGAGAATTATAAAGATTATAGTTCAAGCTCAGATGCAGTGGCGCCCAACGGTTCGGAATATGAAAGAAACTTTGATATAGGAACACAGAAGTGCTAACAACGAACTTCTGTGTTCGATATAGAGTCCCAATACTTTTAAATGCAATGGATTTAACTCATTTTTAAAAATGTCTAAGTTTTTCTATTTCTATTCTATTCCTATTAGAGTACGAAATACTCAGGAGTTTAGTTTACGTGGCTTTCATTTACTCGAGTTTTGCTGCACACAGTTGCTATAAATTACTCACCATTGAATCGTAGTCAAACGCTCCAGAAAAGCATTATAGCGTTTGAAAACTGAATTAGGATGAAAAGTCCAATGAATCGGTGGCCTCTCCTCGGGCTCTTTAAAATAATCGGCAATTTTTTCCTTGTAGTGATCAAAGAGAGCACGAAAGAATTTCAATATTTCGATGGACAATGTCAGTCGTTGCATGGCTTCATCTATGTCGCTGTGGAATATCGAAGAGGGATCCAAAAAGCGTTTGGCCTAAAATACAAACACTAAGCAAAAAACTGAGCCTTAAAATAATTTGCCATACATTTACCTGATGTATAATCAAATTGCAGATCTGTCTAAGTAGTATTGTGATTTTCGACGAATGATTATAATAACGGGAATTACCCCATATTGTGCAGACTACATGCATTAGTGGTATTAGATTAGGTTTACATTCAGCAAAATCCATTTCCTCCAATTGTTGGACACATTTCTTCAAAGGATTCAGATACATGGTAATGTCCTTGGCTTCAGCAAGTGCTGGAAATTTCAGAAAATTTAAATTTTAATATCATTTCACTAACTAATATTATCATCTTACCAGTAACTACATTTTTAAATAGCGTTTGAAAGCATGGAAAATATGCGCTACGTGAATGTTCCAAAACCAAGGCCATGGCCCGAATGCGCTCATTACGCAATTGCTCAAAAATAAACGAAAGATTTTTCAAACGATTATTCCAGAAAACAAATTCCGTTGTCGGTGTTGGATTTTGACCATTTAGGAAGGCATTTGCCGGATTCTCCTTGATGACTTCATGGACCTGCGTGGCCCATTTGATGACCACACCTTCGATGGCACTTTTCAAATACAAATCAATTTGCAATTGTGGGTTTTCACTAATTGCTGCGGCGGCTTTAACGATTTTCTCAACACCCACTGGCATGGCTAGGATAGTCTCACCGCTCACCTGACCCTTAACCTGATGCACGGTACTCTTTAAACTGTGGACATGTTTCTGGACATCTTGAGCCACCATAAATGGCCATTTCTTGTAATTGATCTCATTCGATAGCAGAGGTACCAAAACTTCCTCCACCAATGCCGACAACTGGTCAATTGTCCGTGTGGCCAAATCACCGCTGATAATAAAATGATTACAATTCTCGCGGGGTATTGGCTCTGGGTGCTTTTTAATGAAATAAACTCCCTTGCTTTTCAGTTGTGTCAGTGGAAATGTGGTCGAAGGCAATAATTGTGCAGATTGTGTTAGAATAATAATTAGGACTACTGGTGTGGGACGATCAAGGAATTCTTTTATAATTCCCTTGGTCTCTTCTACGGTGATGACACGTGTCCATTTTTCGGGTTTTAATTTTAGGGATTTTATTACAAAGGAACCCATTAGTTCCAAGCGTGGATCTGGACCATTACCAGCTGCCGCTGCTTCGGCGCTGGTTGAAGGTCCATCCATTTTGCAGGACGAAGAAGTAGAAGATCTGGAAATTAACGTAATAATAATTAAAATATCACTAATCCGGATTATTAATTACGCAAATATAAACCTTATACATAATAGATATCATTTTCACTAAAATGGGTAAAGTTTTGACAAACGCTAAAAAAAGGCTAAGGTCGATTTGTGCAAAAAAATTAAAAATGCAATCGCTGTACTACAAAAGTGGTTTATGCGATCGTCACAGTTGACGAATTATTAATCAGCCGGGCTGATTTGAAGATTTTCAATAGAAAACCTAATTCGACCGGGCTGAAGTTAAGATTTTGTATAGAAAACCTAATTCAGCCGGGCTGAATTGAAGATTTTCTATAGAAAACCTAATTCAGCCCGGCTGAATTGAAGATTTTATATCTAACGCCTAATTCAGTCGGACTAAATTGAAGATTTTCAACTAACCATTAAAATTTGTATATAACCCGTTTCGAATGAGTTTCCAAATGTATATTTTATATAGATTACATAATTATTAAAATAATATGATTAGTTTTTGAAAAGGACTTTCAAAAAATCTACAAATATAAATAATAATTATAAAATGTATTTGAATATAATACCCGATTTTAATTTAAGAGAAAATCATATTTTGTTCATATCCATAATTTTTGCATTATATTTCAAAAAATTTAATGTTGTATTTTGATTTAATTCAAACCTACAATAATTCAAGAATGTCCCTATAAATTTTCAAATGAAAATCTCAACAATTTTTGAAGATATAGCCGATTTATTGTGCTAGCATCAAATGACGGCAAGAGGGCCTCTCAAACTTAAAACCCATTTTTCTCCAAACAGCGTTGTTGCGAATGGCGGGCACGATAACTCAAAAACTAATAATCCGATCGATTCCAAATTTTGGCACGTTTCTCTGTGAGTGTATAGCTATCGTATGAACTAGGATAAAGCCAATCGGTGAAGTCCTTACGCCATTTTGTTAATTGTTGTGCGAAGTCAATAATCCTAGTTCATACGAGAACCAGACATGTACTCTTTCTAACACCGTTGGAATTTTTGGATTCCGATGTTCCAGTGAGGAGTTATCATAAGGACTTTTCTTTAATCACAAAAAACAACAACGTTTTGATATAACCATCATATCACCACTCAATGGAAAGTTATTTTTATAAGCTTTAAAATGATTTGATATTAACCGGATCCGTAGAACCAGATATAAGCGTGTACCCGTAACCGAACTTCCGAGTCAAATGATCGGGTAATCTGGTACGTCTCCCAAGAAAAAAATATATCTCCATAATAAAAATAAAAATACCTACCTCTGAAAAAAAATTCAGAAAAATCAGATTGTATTTACTAAACTAGAGTTGTTCCCATATATGTTAGGTAGCCTCCAATGGAACCAATCAAAAATTCAAATTTATTGTCCTCAAAATGGGTATTATTTTCATTTCACTTTTCACAATATTTCGTAGTCGCCCTGTTACGATTTCAAATATTAGATGATAATTCGCCATTAGTTATGTAATAAAAATGCTTTTTATATTTAAAAAACAAAATCAATACAAATCGATTTTAAGGTTGACATTATCATATTTCGTATCCTTTCCACATGAGCTATAATGCATGGAATAATGACACGCACACACAACCGAATAACGATAACATTTTTACAATAACAATTTTTTCCAAGTTTCATAACATCGCAATTTATAATGCACAATAATTATTTATATAATATATATATAGAATAAAATTTATAATATATTATCTTACGAATTAAACTTTTTACATAACTAATTTTTGTAGTACTAATTTAATTCATTCCACACACATAAATACATACTATTTATTTTTAATCACTATTAATTTATTTTTTTTGTCTATAATATATTATTACAATAATCACATAATATTTAAATTAGTTACGCATATAACATATTTGTTACCAACGATTTTTTTTTATAAAATAACTATTTTTTATTATTTATATTTTTCTAATTTTATTTAAATATATTTTTTGAAAGATTTTCAAAACAACATTTTTTTGTTTTCTTGGTTACGTAACATTCCGTTACGTAACATTCCTGTTATGTATTTGATTAACTTGATATTCACCTTTATTGAATTATTTTCTTTTTTTGTGTGTGGATTCACTATTTTAATTTAACTGAAATTTCAATATAACCATTTCTTTCACTTGGTTACATAACATATTTATCCAAGAATTTTCAAAGTAACAAACTTTTCGTTCTCTTGGTTACATAACGCTCCACTACATATTACTTTTATTTTTTTTCATTTCATTTAATTTTCAATTTTATTGAAAAATATTTTATACTTTTCTTTTTTTATTGAACAAATTTTAATACTTTTCTTTGCTTTTTATAAATTTTCTTCAATATTTTTTATGAAAATTAAAAATTAACTGAAAATTGTTCACTTAATTACACAACATACTATAAAAAATAATTTTCCTCATATAACTTTATTTTCAATTAATTATTTCAATTTTCAATTAATTATTTCACTCTGAACTAGGTTAGTAATTAATTTCCCTGTACATTTACTAACAAAATTCATTAATTTTCATCAAGAAAATGATAAATTTTCACCAATTTCCACATACGATTGCATAACTTTTATTCATTCCATTTTCTTTCTTTGCTTTATATACTATGTATATATTTTCACTTCACTGTAACTTTACCTTTTACTTAGCTGTTGTGTTTAGTCAATTTCCGTTTCCGTTGTCTTTTGCGATTTGCGACTTTTATCACGAAAGGTTTCCACCGTTATGACAGGAAAACCTTTTTGCATTTCTTAACAACAATTCCTATTCGAATATCCTGTTGTTATTGTTTATTATTTTGGAACTTGGAGTCCTGCGTGTGTCATGTATGCATGTTGTCTGTCTGTCTATAAATAAATGTCTGTTAGTTTGTCCTGGTGTCTCCGTTTGTTTATTTATTCGGAAAACCTTAGCGTTTTTTATTGATGCTATTGCTCACGAAGCGTGTCACAACCGGCAGATGACACCAAATCACGTAACATGCAACTGGTGCAGGTGATAGTGGTGTTGTTTTTATGCCCAAAGACAACAAGTTAGCCGAACACCAAGGTTACGATCCATATAACATAAATTTACGATAATAAACAAAAACAAAGGGGGTAATGTAGCGGTTGGTTGTTATTTGTTATAGTAAATTTTTCGAGCATCAACGGCAACCCTAAGCGGTTGGATTTTGTGGGCCAACAATGGAGAAACTTGTATGTAAATAAAATTCGGTGATAGATATGTTATGTTAGGAAAGGGCGCATAAGGAGGCAAACGATCGCAGACTGGAATTAAATGTAATTAAGTATCAGAAAGCAGAATGAGAATTTATATATTTACGATAATTAAATTTTTTATCTGGTTAAATTTTATTATAATTTGCAATTTTACAACATTTTTAAATCGCATTGTATATTAGAATTCATTCAACTTTTTATAATACAAGTAAAGTGTAGCCAACAGATATATACCCTCAGCCTATGGTTTGCCGAGGTCTTCGGATTTAATGTTTATCTAATCGGTTATTCAATTCGCTTCAAATTAAATTTACAAATTCATAAAATATTGATTAGTTGTGGGGGAGGTACCAGAAGGAGTTGAGTAATGCGTCCCATATTTGGACTTGATATAGACTTTGTAAAGATAATGGGTTGTGCAATGTTTCGTTTAAATCGGAGATTCCATTCTCCTGATATTAGATTTATAAATATTGAACATTTTGACCATTTAGAGGGAGATATTAGAAGGAGTTTACAAAAGGGTCAAACCTTTGGACTTGATCTAGATTGGGTAAAGATAATAGATTGTACAAAGTTTGGTTGAAATCGGATAGTTCCTTCGCATGATCATATAAAGAAGAAATATTACGATGTGCAAAGTTTAGATAAAACCGAGTAACCGATTTCGGGAATTATCGTGCGCACCATCCGCCCAGTTACAATACGGACGATCATTTGTAAATCTACTCCAAATTGTCTAAAAAGATTTTGGTCCAAAGAAACATTCGGATTCAAATTCGGCATCACACCAGAACCTCCCTTTTAAGACGGACAATTTTCCATACAACATTTTTCTTCCATGGTATACAACAGCATAAGGCGCCGGACAAATTTTGGATTTGTGATTACTTCAAAAAGAACGAAATCGTTAAGGCGACTTTGGATTTGTTTGCAACGACGATTTAGCGGTGATCGGGAGCGATCGTTGTCGGGAGTTGGAGATGATGATTGGCAAGGATGATTTAACTGTGATCGGGAAAGATGATGGTTGGGTGTTTGCTACGACGATTTAACGATGATCGGTAACAGGTTAGTAGTACATATTGACTAAGAGCTCGTACAAACTACTATACTAACTACGAACAGTAAACCTAAGTCTCTGGTGGAAGCCGAAAGCCTCTGTGTGGGACAGTAAACCAAAGCATTTGTGTGGAACAGTAAGCCGAAGCTTCTGTGTGTATGTATTTATGTAGCCGCCATAATGGGTAACCACTAAAAAGAATTGTGAATGATAGCATGATCACCCACAACACAACAAGAGTCTTGCTGCAAGACTGTGGAATGGCAAGCTTCCCTCAATGGATGAGACTGAAATACTTATGTATGCGGTGTAACAACGTGAATTAGAATTATATAGTCGCCGGTAAATATCAATGTTTTCGTCGTTGTGATGGTGGATGTTGCGATCGTAGGTGTTACTGTATGTATGTGTCGTTTGTCACGTTACAGGATGTCTCTGAATTTATTAAACCAGTTTTAAGCTGTTCTATAGGATTTTGTTCCATCGGTGCTTTACGTTTGCCGTAATAATCCACTAGGTAATACAATTTTTGGGCAACTTTCTTTTTAAAATCACTTTGAACTACACAACACATGACCGTACGTCAGAACGTACTTAGTACGTTTATGCTAATAAATTTCAAAGGCAGAATTTTGCAAGAACCTATGTATCAACCAATTTTCTACAAGGAGATATATTAAGCTCTGATTATCCGAACTTTAAAACGCTTTAAACACCGTTTTAAAACATATTTCTAGACCGATATAAATGTAATTTAAATTTATATCGGTCTAGAAATATGTTTTGAAGCGTTGAAAATTCTTATAAATGGTCTGAACCGCTATATGGGACGTATCTCAAAACAGGCATCACAATTGTCTTTGAAACTAAGGCTTTAAAAACGACCTAAAATCAGTGGCTATGTGCCTTTTTTGAACCTTTATGGAACACTTACTACATGGAGATATTTCACCATCTCTGAATTTGATCCATATTTATGAATTTCTATTGCAAAATGTGGTATACACCTTTAAAATACATCAAATTTGACCGGGTTTCAGTATCAAACATCAATGGGTGTGCAAAATCAAACAACGCTCCTCAAAAATATATCTTTTATTAGCACATAATATTTTCAACTATTTCTTTGCTCTAGTGTAAAAACAAATCAGCTGCTTAGACCTGTGGATGGGCCACAACAAATATGCCTCGTTTATGCAAATGTAAATGAACTTCACATCCATTAACAGCAGTTAGGGGGAATGTTTCACCGGTTCAGGGTAAATCCATCAAATTTATTTTGTTTATGTTTTTGTTTTGTTTTCTCCTTTTTTGTTCATTCTCAACAAAATAAAGTTGCTTCACCTTAGTGTCAGAGCCGGCATGTACCTCCACTGTACCTACTATAGTATAGATTGCGTGTTTAAAACTAATTTCAATAGCAAATCACTTGATGCGTCTAAATTTTTACCGACTAACAAACAAATTCCTCTAGTCCTAGTTAAAGTTATTGTATGTATGTTGGTATATGTGTATGTGTACTTAGTAAAACCTCTAATCGTTATTATTTGCATAAACTTGGTATTGTTTTGTTTGCTTTACCAACTAGTGTTGGTCGTAGTCTGCAATTATTTAACGCGCCAAAGAGCGAAGTACTGCAGTTATTTGGCGCGATAATCTGACAATTCAATAATGGCGTTTTAATCGAATCTTAATTGAATTAGAAGTGAGAAGTTGTGGTAGTTGTTAGTGGCTGCCAGTATTAGCACAAAGTTTTTGCAAAGCGTTTGACAGGCAACCAAACACCTGTTGAGCTCATGGGTTCAATAAGTAATGGAAATAATAAATGTTTTATTTATTTTTAATTGTGATATCCAAATAATTTAATATTTAAGATTTTTAGGTTCATACAACCAACAGTGAACTCTCGACAATGCGAAAATCCAATACAGTGAACTCTCGATAAATTGAACTTATTAATGTCAGGTAGTTCATATTTTCCGAATTTGTTCACACTTTCGATTCGGCCAGTTTATTTACCGCTAATTCTCTGTTTTTTTTTTCAATGCTTTATTATCGAGAGTCCATATTCTTATTGGATGTGGTATTTTTTATTGGAAGCATCAGATGATGGCTGGTGATCTGGTGCAGTTGCAAAATATGATAATTAACATCTTTTTACTTCATTATTTTAATCGGTCATTTGGTCAGCTCAATGAAGGCTTTATTTACCTTTGCAATTCATTGACAGCACCAAAATACGACCACCCGTTTCATAATCTCCATTTATAAGAAGCTTGGGGAAGAAAAAACTCGCTTCTAAAATTTTGGAATTTTTTGCCCACCGGTAGTATTCAAAATCTGACCATTTTGAAGGCCTTCAGCTATAAAAAATGTAAAATTTAAGTTTATTGGAGATGTGTCTGAGACTTGAGAGATGGTTATTTTAGTCTGAAAACCTTCTGCCTAAAGCCCAACTGCGTAACTGGGACGTTATGATGGTCGTATTTTGGGATTCTTTTGTCTAACCGGTAGTATTCAAAATTTTACCATTTGGAAGGCCTTCTGCTACCAATTTTTTTATTGAAGATGTGCCTGAGACTTTATTTTAATCTTAAAACCTTCTGTCGTCACCTGAAGCTCAACTACGCCAAACTGTGGCGTTATAAGCGTGTAGATTGTTGTCGTATTTTAGCTGCATGGCAAAACTCGAATATTCAATCAATTAAACCCTTTTAAATAATTCTAAAATTTATTTTTTTATTCACAAATTCTTTTTCGATTTTTTATAAATATCATATTTTCCACGTTCGTGTAAATCATCATAGAATATATGATCCTGATAGATTTCATCACGATGATACATGTTTTGATAGCCCTTCGTTTTGAAACCTTTTTTATAGTTTTTCGATTGGGCATAGAATTTTTCCGATTTATCCAATGGATGGCTATGATGAGGTTTAGCTTTGTGATGCAATTGCAATTGTTTCAAAACATTTTTTGTGTTTAAATATTTCAATGGACTGGCTGGACTCATTTCACCTCTTTCTTCTGAAGATTCAGACGGGTAATCATCCACGAAATCCATATCTTTGGTTGTGGGTAACTTTTTATCTCTTGGTGGCGGTTTTGGTAACATTTTCGCTTTGATGGAGGAACTTGAGGCCAGTGAGTCATGTACTTGGACTGGTTTTCCATTCACTGTAATTTTAGTCTCGGAAGCCGAAGCTGGATGATCCAAATACAAGCGTACATTGGTGGCTTTGTACTGTTCGGTGATTTCTGTTTTGGGACGTTTATAGTATTCCTTCGGTTTGGATGGCTTCTTTACCAACATCACAATTTTCTTGGGTTTTCTTTTTTTAATTTTTATCCATTTCACCTCCTTGGGCGCTTCATGATTTCTGTGCTCCGCCTTGTTGGACGGATATTTTTTCGCTTTAGCCAATTCTACAACAGGTTTTATTTTCTCTCCTCGCTTATCCTTTTCCTCGTCTTTATATCTGCCTGCAATTACGCACAGATCCATATCCTTGGGTTTGGGTATTTGTAACGAAGACTTGAACGGGCACTGGAGTATATAATATTCCTGGGTGGTATTGGTACGTCGCACCGCCGATATTGGCAGACGATAATACGAGTGTAAATTCCTTTCCACAATAATGCATTGCACCAAGCCCACTTGCTGCATGATTGCAATTAATATTTTCAAAACGATTAGCAACTTCGTAGACATGTTTACCGTTCGCAAGTTTACAATGAACTTGAGTTTCCGTTCGAATTTGTTAGCATTTTTATGTTTTCCAATGAATCGACGACGCTATGTTTGGTGGCTGTTCTCTGCTGCCGTTGGTGTGGAAGTAACACTTCAATGATTTCCCCTCTCCCCCCTTGGGCAATGTTGGTCGGGCAGTGCGGTCTTCATGTTGGTCTGACATTATTGCATAATAATGGGTTTGTGGTTTAACGCCTGGTTTTTTATTCTTTGGCTTCTTCGTTTTGTTTGCATTATTATTTTTTGTTTAATGTAGGTGCATTTTCTTTACACGAAAGTTTGTTTTGATTGTTAAGCCACTGACATTTATTATTTCCATGTGGTTTTTGTTTAAAAAAATTAAAAATTTTCTTATTTTTATTGAAAACAATCCAGTAGAAAATGGAGTCATTGAAGGCATTTTTGTCGGAAATTCTTGTATAGACTCGTAAATTTTTATAACCATCCCAGTAGGAATAAAATGACAATTTCCATGAAAATTAGTTAAACATCTTTAAAACTTATCCTTTTTTTGTAATACGATTTATCATTTTATTTCAAGTTTCTTGAAAAAAAAAACATTTATTTCCTATAACATAATTCAAATACACACACAAAGTACAAATTAAAAAATCACAATTCAGTAACTACGAGAAAACGATACGATAATATTTTTTTAAATTATAATTAATCACCATTTCATTTTGCATAAAAATCATCATACGAAAATTCATTGAATATGCTACTGAGTAAATTATCCAGAATTTCGCTTAACGCACCATTAATTCCTTTCGATACTTCATGCCATACATCACGCCAATTCTGATTTATGACCTCATTAATGGTTGCAGTCAATTCCGGGCTACCATTGACCAAATTGTCCATATTACAAATGCACGAAAAAATTAGTTTTTTTTTTTTAGAAAAAGAAATAAAAATTATAGCCTTACTTCTCCGGTAAAAGGTTCAGCTTAAGTTTTGTTATTTTCACATAATTTTTACCATTGTGGCGTTTCTCCAACGCCACTTTGACCCTGACGTTGAAAATACCATTGGTCAGATCAAAGTAGCCTTTACCTTTGCCATTCATTGCCAGCACCAAAATACGACCATCCGTTTCATAATCTCCATTTATCAGCAGTTTGGGAAAGAAAAAAATCGCCTCAAAAATTTTGGGATCTTTTGTCCAACCGGTAGTATTCAAAATCTGACCATTTTGCAGACCCTCAACTACCAATTGCAAAAATTTGAAATTTAATTTTATTGCAGAGTCTGAGACTTGTGAGATGGTGACATTTTTCAATGTTAATGCCGAGACATTGGGCATGCCAATGTCAGGATTACCGGTGGGATATTTGCGTAATACTTCCTCCATTTTTTTTGCCAACACACACATTGTCGTCAATTTTACATTTGCTTATGTCCGTAGCTGAAAATTGTTGAACAAACAAAAGTGAGAAAATAATTTTAATTGAAAAATATTTGACATGTATTTTGGGGTCAGAGAGATCTTGACATTTCAAAGACAATTAAATTGAACCCGAATTAACTCGGAAATAGTGTACTTTAAAACAGTAAAAAGGCAGGGCAGGCAGAGAACATTGGAAATATGTAAAATCGGAAGGACTCATATGGGGATTACAGCATACCCAAGGCCATTCTTTATATCCTTCACCTCTCGGTAATATAGTTTTATAAACAATGTCCATTAAACACTTTCCTCGCCACACAATAATCCAAAGTAATTTATGTAAAATTAGTCAATTGTGATGGCATTGACTCCGTGTAATTGAAAGTAAATAAAAAAATACAAACATTAACAAATCAAATCGTTATTAAATGCTCGTTAGTGGTAATCGGTTGTTGGATTGTCAATAATTCAATAATAACGATTTTTGATATGTCGATTAGTTTTTTCTATCGATTTGTAACATACAAGTAAGAGAAGAGGAGATAGATTTCGCCACTGGATCACATAGGGGACCACTTCATATAGGTTACCCCTTCCGTAGGTTACAATATGAATCTTACAATCATATCTTGTATATTTCCAAAGTGGTGAAGGGTATCATATAGTCGGTCCCGTCCAACTTTTGTAATTTTCTAACTGGCATTTTCTATAATTGCTACAATCAAATATTCGATACTTTTTTACTACTACTTTATTATATTTCTATATTGGAATAATATTAGATCATGTTTCGTCACACTGGATAATATTATTCTTGTTTTTTAAATAAAAAAGAATGAGTGGTAAACGCACCGGATAAACACGTACCAATGACCTCGTTCAATTGCAATTAATGTAACTTCTGAAGGGAAGGGTATGTGTGAAGTGTAAAAAACTCACCGTGTGTTCCACAAAATACCCGTACATCATAATTCTAACAAATGCCTTATAACAGTTTTGAATTTTTAAACATGACATTTACAATGATAAAAAAAATAATTTTATGGTCATGTTTAGAAATAGATTAAATATATCATGTATGTATATATTTATTTGACAATTAACTCAGATACCCAGTCACCTACAAATGCACGGTAAGTTTAAATTTCTTAAAAAAAGATTTATTTGCAAATAACATAATTCAAATAAAAACATACTTGCAAATTTAAAAAGAGAAAACATCACAATTTAATAACTACTATGGACACTATACGCTCTAGTTTAATATTATCTATCACGATTTCATTCAGCATAAAAATCGTCATAAGAAAGTTCATTAAAAATGCCAGTGAGTAAATTCTCCAGAACTTCTCCCAAAGCAGCATTAAGTCCGTTAGAGATTTCTTGCCATACATCACGCCAATTCTCATTGATGACATCGTTAATTGTTTTAGACAATTCCGGGCTACCGTTGACCAAATTGTCCATATTAGTATAAGCTCTAAAAATAATTGATAATTAAGAATATATATATATATATATATATACACTCGTATTCTATGTAAGAACTTACTTCTCCGGCGAAAGGACCAACTTAAGTTTTGTTATTTTTGCATAATTTTTACCATTGCTACGCTTTTCCAACACCACTTTGGTCTTTACATTGAAATGGCAGTTGGTCAGCTCAAAGAGGCCTTTACCTCGGCCATTCATTGACAGAAACAAAATCCGCCCATCCGATTCATAGTCTCCTTTTACAACCAGTTTGGGATAGAAAAAATTCCCTTCAAAAATTTTGGGATTTTTTGTCCAACCGGTTGTATTTAAAACCTGGCCATTTTGAAGACCATCCGTTACGAATTGCACAAATTTCAAATTCATTTGTATCGGAGATGAGCCTGAGGCGCGTGAGATGATAACATTTTTTATTGGCAAAGCTGACATATTGGGCAAACCAATGTCAGGATTACCATGGGGATATTTCCTTAATACTTCCTCGATTTTTTGGGCAACACACACATTGTCGTCAACTTTACATTTGGTTATATTCGGAGCTGGAAATTTGAAATAAAAAAATGGTAAAAAATTTTAGAACATAATATGAGACTTTGGCTTTTGTATTCAGAAAGTACTTAAAACTGGCACCGGATGTAGTTGTAGTTGAAAATGTATTCCATGTGATTAGCACTGTTTTTAGCTTTCACAGGATATTCATATAGGTTTAATTGGTGGACATAAAACCGGTACAAATTCGGATATGTTTTCAGCGAATAAACCCTATCAACGAGTTTGGAATAATGATATATATTAGTATATGGTAAATATTTTTGACGAATCCGACCGCTCTTCATAATTTATAAGAAATTTATATATTTATATTTATTGTACATAGGTTTATGGGTTTCTTAGCATGGATCTTATAATAGTGTAAAAGGACGATAAAAACATAAAGATATCGATTTAATATCTTTGAGGACCCTAACTAAAATCTTATGAGCGTCATATTTGAGGATTAAAAATATCGTCCTGTGGTATTTAATTTAAAGTTCAATAAAATAAGATTGAAGGCGAAGACGCACAAGAACTGTAGATGCAAGGAGGACAAAAATATCCCTCATTCGATTCGACTGAACAAAGATTTAAAGCCTTTTTACCCTACACAACTATGTTGTCAGGGTATTATAGCTTTGTGTAGCCCCAAGAGTTTGTAACGCGGCGAAATATTGGTCCTAGACCCACCTTTAAGTATTCCGATCGTCATATCTCGACTAGCTGAGTCTATCAATGCAATTATGGTCCAAACATCGCGAATTTTACATAGAGAAGGGAATCGGGCCAAATGGACCCTGACTTTTGTGTGAAAAATGACAAAATTTGTATTCGATAGCGTATAGATTTACTCCTGAAGAACATAGACGCGAGAAGTTGATAGTATTTCAAAGAGGAGTTGAATTGATACCAATTATATTGTCGTATGTACTCGGATGTGGGAGTTACACTTAAATATTTATATTCTTTAGAAACCCATTACCACACTAGAGGGCGAAAATATAGCGCTGATCCCTTTTAAATTTTATATGAGATAATTTTCTAATATGATCAGACAATAATGTTAGGATGAAGTGGGCCGAAAACTTATTTGTTTGTGTTTTTTCGATGTAGGGAATCTGGACAAGTAATTAGAAGGGCTTTATTGAATATTTGTAACATTCGTTGACCTCTAGGCGATCAAGAGATTGAACCACAGAAATTTATATTTTCGTGGAAGTTATGTAAGGTATCATATGGCCGGCCCCGTCCGATAGTGTTGCCAGCAAAAAATCAAAAACTTGACCTATGACGATTTTTTCTTCTGGGTACACTCGCTAAGGTCTTCCATCCTCCTCCATTTCCATTAATAATTATGTTTTTTTTTTCTGGCCAGGCATATTGTGTTTGTGTCTGCCGGTTACTCTCGAAAAAATCGATAAATGTTCTTGAACAATTCCGATCGGATGGTATATCGAGTAAAAACTCAATCGATATCGACTGTCAGATTTTACCCAACTTCGGACTGGCTGGTGTGTGGATTTTGATGAATTGGAATCTAGTTTTCACATATTCACAATATTCTCTTTATTTAATTTTTGTGTTATGTTGTTTATAACTTCAACAATAATAATACCTTTGAAAGGAAATCAATTACAAATATATAAAAATATTCAAATTTTCGCTACACTTATATATCTCTTTTTAGTTTCTGTTTTTTCTGAATATTTTAAATTTGTTCTTTATTTTGTCCTTTAATTTTTTTTCACTCACGTAAATCGCCAGCATAGGAACCGAGTATTAAACATAAGATCACAGTTATCGATAAAAACATTGTATTGTTTTATTAATAATTCCAAAATTTTATTTATTTTTATGTCGAACTTTTCCGGTTTAGCGATCTTTCGAAAATGTTTACATTTGTCCGCTTTACTTTTCTTTTTATAGACATGTTTAATCTTTTTCATAGAATAATTAATTAATTATTAATTAGAATCGCCATATTAAATTAATTGCGAAGAGATCTATTGAAAAATAAGATTAATAATTATACGATATTGATTAAAACATTTTTCATTCCCAATATTGATCCATAATAATTTATGTAGACTAATTCCTTTTGTGACTTATTGAGGGCTCACTGAGTCTGTGTAATTTAAGGTTGAAAAATGATAAAGAAAATTGGAGCGTTAATAAGTGCTTGTTAATGGTAAATGGGTGTTAAATTGCCAGCTCATTAATTGAAGTATCTGTTTAAGTATCAATTTAGTTTTTCAATCGATTTGTAACATGTAGCCATTACATTTTCCCACATAGCTTCTTCAAATCCAAAAATGCTTGAATGCTAAGTTATATTCACAATTTGTTTGTTTTTTTTATATATATATTTGCTGGTCCCTTTAATTGACCTATATAGTAAATTCGAATAATTTTGCCCAAAAATATATACATTCAACCCAATTCTGCTTGTCAATTCCCTGTGAATTTTCTACTTTTCCCCTTTCGACTTATTCTGAGCAGCAATTCACAGTGATTTTTTTCGTATTCTCACTTGTTTCGTCTTTTTTTTCAGATTCTAGCATCATCCAAAAGGCAAAATTAACCGATTTGTTATTTCATAGCCAATTTCTAGTTTTTTTATTATACACCAAAGTAAATCGATCGAACAATGGGCAGCTGTTTCACATGTTGCCATATTTTCTAACATCAAATATATTTTTTAGCTTTATGCAAGCTTTTTTTCTCGAGTCTAATGAAAAAAATTGTTTGCGTTTTCAGAATTGAAAACCAATTCACAATAATAGATTTTGACAGGAAACTTGAGAGGCAGGCTGATATCCAGGTGGTATCCCTGGATGACCTTATTTATAGGCCTTGAACTTGTACAACATAAATTAAGAATTTGCAATGTATTATAATATGGCAACAATTTCTCTTTTCCCCCTTCAATTAGAATAAGACGAGAACGTGAAAAGGAGAAATTTGTCACTTGTGAGATCATTTATATTTATATTCCACTTTTTCGATAATTAAATGGCTTGGCCATTTCATTTACATGTTTCGATTGTAAACAATATTATTAATCTCAATTAATTTAAATTCTGCAATTATTACAAAAAAATTAAATAATTATGAAGAAGGGTATTCAATAGTTTTTCTTTGGCCTAATATTGAATGATATGACACGTTTATAACTAAACGTTCTTTATAAAATTATAATTTACTAATAATTAAATATTTCATAAACAATAAAACATTTGATCGTGTGTCGACACAAGGGATAATATTATTATTGTTTTTTTTTTTCAATTAAATAAGTATGACTATATACGCTGCGCATATAAACGTACCAATGACCTCGTTCAATACAATTGGAATTAATTGCAATAAAATTGAATAAGAAAAATAAAACCTTTTTATTGTCAAACAGGAATGGATTAAATACTTCATGTTAGAATTCAAAGTAGTTTTTCTTCCACCCGATATAAACATTTTATAATAATTCACTCAATGGCCCTGTCGCCTATAACCCCGCGGAAAATGTTTCAATACTGTAAAGAAACGATTATTTATATATTGATTTTGTTTTAAATCTTTACAATTATTATTTATTTCCTATAAACAAAATGATACAATTCCATTTGCATATATGTAATTATTTTTTTTTCTTAATTTTAAAAACTAATTAATAATAATATTTATTAATAAAAATTGATTATAATTAGTTATTGGTTATGGATTCTATTATTGGCGTTATAATTATGTTTTTTATCGTATATTAGATTAGATCATTGATTAAATTATGGAAAATATTATAACGAAGGAATTTTAAATTGAATGTAAGGAAACAGTTGTTGTTGATTTTATAATTTCACAGCCTTTAATCTATAAAAAATTGGGAAAGGGAATGTGTGAATTTCTTTAAAATTAGGCAGTTATCTCAAAAAGTTAAGTTTTTTTGTTTTTATTTCTATAACATAATCTATTGTCTAAATAACTATCAGTTTTCATTATTAATTGTTATCTTTAATAGCAAACCACTTATAAAAAATTTAATTTTGAAGTAGGCATACACTTAACTTTAATAGACTTTCTTCTTATTTTATAACTAATGTGACATTGATTGGATTAACATGAAAAATCATAGCTTTATTGGGGTCTGAAAGGTTACGGTGTTTTAAGAAGTAAAAAATAATAAAACTCCTACCATTAGATTCCACAAACAAAAGTAATTTCAATTTCTAATAAAAGAAATATACTCTATTATAAAATGATATTATATTAAGAACTTCTGACTTTAAAAAAAAATATGTTAACAATCATATAGAAGACTTTTTAAAAATTATTTTTCCTATAGAAATCCTAACACGTACTCAGTCCAAATGACCGGAAGGTCTTCTTACTTATGAAAACCTTAGGTATTCAATACTGGTGGTTGCGTAGGTTCTGTCATTGGCTTTCCTTTTCATTGCAGAACTTCGACAATTAATGTCAACTTGGAAGAGAACCCCCAGAACTCAAACAATAATAAGGCTACGAAATGTAGGAGGATGAGAATGTCATAAAAAATTTGGCCACTTTAAGGATTTGGGGAGATAAAATATCGAAATGAAATAAAAGGCACCCAATTATATAGTGAAATAATATACTGCTCATTAATTTAAATCAATCGCAGATTTCTTCCCATTATTCGTTGTGTCTTTGACATCGTTCAAAGCGGTTTTTGCCATCATCAAAAAAATTTTCTTTTATTTGTAATCTGTTGTAGTTGTTGCACCAAATTGCATCAAAACAATAAACAGCTATTTCACATGTCGTTGTATGTTGCCATATTTTCAAACATTAATTTATTTTCCTTTAATTACTACGCAGTTTTACAGGTGATTCTTGATATTTCACATTCATATTGTTATAAAGTTTAAAAAATAAAAAGTGACAATTTTACAAAAAAAAGAAATAAATAAAGTATTAAACAATATTAAATTATAATAGGGCAAACGCACATTACAACTTAAATTACAATATGGCAACACGAATCTTTTTTTTAACGCCATTTTCGAAAATTCGAATCCGCATCCCGCATTTTTTTGCTTCTCCATATTTATTCATAATAAGACGAGAATGTGAAAGCGACAAATTTTTCACAATCAAGATCTCGCACTAGTGAATATCCAGATTAAG